AGCTTCGCTATAGTTTATTAGTTCAGCATCTGCAAGTAAATAAAAATGAACTAATGCTCCATCTGGTGTGATTTCATAATCATGAAGTCTTGTTGGAAGAACTCTATTTCTTTGATGTCTTTGGCTTGTTTCAGCCACAGCCTCTTCGACTTCTACTGTGACGGGAGTGTCAGCAACTGCTTCTTCTTCGACTTCGACTAGATTCTTAACAATTCCTTCGACTAGATTCTCAACAATTCCTTCGACCTCTACTTCATTAGTTTCTTCGTCAAAATCAAAGTTCATCAATGGCTCGTTGCTAGAATTCCAATCCCAGGCAGAATTTTCATTAATCACAATATCTCGACTCAACACAATCTTCTCGTTAACTAGATTGAATAGTTTGTATGCATCGATTTTATGATATCCTACCAGAATCATAGGTTCATTCTTGTCATCAAGCTTCCTTCTCCTTGCATCAGGAACATGCTTGTAACACAGATCCAAAAACCTTCAAATGACTTACTGATGGTCGTTTGCTACTCCACACTTCTTCAGGAACCTTGTTCTTTAATATCTTAGTAGGACACCTATTCAAAATATAAACTGCAGTCGAAACAGCTTCTCCCTATAAAGACTTTGGCAAATTCTTTTGCTTCAGCATGCATCTCGCCATATCTAATATGGTTCTATTTCTTCTTTCAACAATTCCATTATATTGATGTGTATAAGGAGCAGTTACCTCATGATCAACACCATATTATGCACAGAAATCTTCAAACATCTTGGATGTGTATTCGCCACCTCCATCCGTTCGCAAAACTTTGATCTTCTTCTCACTCTGGTTTTCGACAAGTATCTTGAATCTCTTAAAGATTTCGAATACTTCGTCCTTTCGTTTGATCACATATATCCACATATTTCGACTAAAATCATCGACAAACGAAACAAAATATATGTTTCCACCAATTGTATGTTCTTCGAATGGACCACATACATCTGAGTGCACCACTTCGAGAATGCAAGATGAGCTCATTGACATAGTCGAAACGAAAAAAAAATTGGATTGCTTTCCCACTAAACAACCTTCACAAAGTTTTTCAGGCATCTCAAAGCTTGGAATACCAGTAACCATATCTTGAGTAATCAGTTGATTAAGTGATCGAAAGTTTAAATATCCAAACCTCAAATGCCACAACCAACTATCCTTGTGGTCGACAACAGTTTTCAAACATTGAACTTATGTCGAACTAATCATAGTCTTAAATGTCCTATTCTTCGACAATAGAGATTTTAAGACCAAATTGTTCTTGGTGTCGAACAATTTCAAAACTCCATCTTTCATGACAACTGAGAAACCTTTTTCGACTAGTTGTCCAACACTTAGCAATTTGCATTTTATTCCAGATACATATATCACATATTTGATCATAGATTTCTATCAATTACTCATTTGAAAGACTATGTTGCCAATACCTTCTTCTTGCAACGAACTATTATCAGCAAGTTTTACCTTGCTCTTCTTTGTCTCATCAAAATCTGCCAACCACTCCTTTCGACCAGTCATGTGGTTTGAGCAGCCTGAGTCGAGAAACCAGATCTTAGATTCAACATGGTTATCTGCAACTACAATTGTAACCATCATACCACCTTCAGAATCATTTGAATCTTGGCGTGCAAGGTTCACTCCTTCGTCCTTGCCTTTCGATCCCTTGTCTTTTCTGTACCAACAATTCTTGGCCAAGTGTCCCCACTTTTCACAGTTATAACACTACATACCTTTCTTATCTTCTTTGTCCTTTTGATAGTTTCATCCTCCCCTTTTCGAGGATTCAGAAGATCTATCTTCGACCTTATTCTTATGGGGATTCGACCAAGACTTCTTGTTATGAGTCTTGTCGAACTTGCCTTTGAACTTGTTGAAACCACCATCCTTTTCCATGACTGAGCTTGTAGTGCCTGTATCGAGTCCTGAACTCCTTTCCTTTCGATAATCCTCATCTCATGCGCCTCCAATGAACCAACCAAATCTTCCACTTTAGTGGTTTCAAGATTGTTGGATTCTTGAATAGCTACGATAACGTGATCAAAGCGAGAGGTCAACATTCTCATTACCTTCACAACTATCATCTTATCAGTAATGGTTTCACCACAACTCTTCATGAGATGGACGAGTTTCTGAACCTTTGACACATATTCTCCAACTTTTTCATCTTCTCCCATCGATAGCAACTCATATTATCGACGCAAGGTTTGTAATTTGACAACCTTGACTTTCTCACCTCCTTCGAAATACTTCACCAGAATATCCCATGCCTCCTTCGCCGTTTCAATATGAGAGATTCTATCGAAATTAGCAACATCGACAGTCGTTTGAATGCAATAAGCAGCCTTGCAATCTTTCTTCTTGACTTCATTATGGGCTTTTTTCTATTCGTGGGTTGCATTTGCAGCCAACGCAGGAACGCCGTCGGTAACCAGTTCTAGATTTCATGGAAGCCAAACAAGGATTGCATCTGTTTTTTCCATCAGATCCAATTTTTTCCGTCAAGTATTGGAAGAGAATTCGGAATGCCCTTATCACTAGTCATCTTCACAACAGTTGATTCACTTGCCATAGAAAAACGATCTCTGACGTGAAATTCTTGAAAACTTGATCAAAAACAATAATCGAAAACTCTGGATACCAATTTGTTAGTGCGTGAGACACTTTTAGTGAGGAGAGAAAGATAGAATAATAAAGGAAATAAGGATTTGTATTATTGAATTGTACAAATAATGATAGACACTATGATTATTTATATACAACCCTAATTGAGTTTAGGCTAACACAACTTGAATTATATTAAATATTAAATCTAATCTAATCTACTATAATTTAATATTTCAACAAAACAGTTTTTATAAAATAACATCCAAACACATTCAATAACATTCAAATTTTTTTGACCTTTTACAATTTTTTTTAATAATTTATAATTTTTTGAAATCAGTTTGAATTTAAATATCCATACTTATGAAGCTATGTTCAACAACAGTTTCTTATTGTCTTGTAAAAATAATAAATATTATTTTTTCTTTATAATTAGTAATTTTATTTATTAGTAATAATTATATATATTAAATTAAAACTTTTTTTTACCAAATTATTTAATTTAAAATTGATAAATTTGTATTTCATTCACGTCATGTAAAGAAAGTTAATTTCAATGACTAATAAATATATAAATTATATTCTTTCCGTTTCAAATTACTCCCTTCATTTCAAATTATTAGTATTCTTTTAATTTTGTTTTTTAATATAATTATTGAAAGATATTTTTATAAAGTTATACATCATTTCACCTTCTCATAAAGTAATAATTATATTTCTTAATTCACGTAAATTCTCCAAAAACATCTTATAATTTAGGACAGAGAGAGTATAAGATATTTTGGTCATTTCACATGCATTAAGAAAAGTAATTATTGTTGTATGAGAAATGAAAATTATATATGACTTTATATTGTCCTTCATTAGTTAAAGAAGAAAGAAAAATTAAAGAATGAAAAGAAGAAAGAGAAATAAATAATAGAGGATATAATAGAAAAAATATCATTAATATTATATTGGAATTATAAAATAACTTATAATTTAAGATAAATTTTTTTTCCTTCAAAATATCTTATAATTTGAAACAAGAAGGACTAATAGAAATATATATATATAATGAATAATCACATTCTTATATAAATTTTTACATAATATATGAATTAATCAAAAATAAAATAAAATTTATAATCAAGTAAATCATCTTAAGTTATATACATATTCACTCAAAATACTAACGAATGTGAATTTTGTTGAAAAGTAAAAAAAAATAAAAATAAAATGGTAATTTTATATACAAATATCTTGTAAAAAAATTTCTATAATAATAATAATAAAATTTTACAAAATAAATATTAAAATATAATAAATATTAAAATTAATAAAAAAATATAATATTTGTTGATACAAATAGGATAATTAAAAAAATATAGTAAAAGTATATTGTTAATAGAAAAGTTAAGAGCAACAATAAAAATAGATAAAGAACGATCCATTTTGTTATGAGAAATAATAAAATAGCACGAACAAAAATGAGTTTATTTTGTTAAAAACTTATATATAATTTTTCTTAATAAAAATATGATAATTATAAAATATGATATACTTAGTAAGAAAAAGTTAGGATTTTTATAGAAAATTAGTGGAAGAAATGTTAGTTTTATAAAAAAAATTAATTGAAAAGAAAATTATTTTAGAAAATGATTAAAAATAATAACAAATGAATATAAATAATATATATAAAAAATCATAAATTAATTAATTATTAAAACTAAAATATTGGTTTTTTGGTCAAAATAAAAAAAAAACGTATAAGTTACTGACTTATTTCATCATAAACTAAAAATTGATGTTGATTAAAGTTTAAAAAATATTTTAATAATTAAAAGAACTTAAAAAAAAGTATGAAAGAAATATATAAATAGAGAAAAAAAATATGGAGGTGTATATCACATTTTTAATTTCAAAATATTAATATAATATAATTCAATGCTATGATTTTATTGGATGATGTAAAATTAGTTTACACTAAGAGTCTACACCACCTTTATTCTCATTTAAATATATGAATTTTTAATTTGACCATACTTAAGACTAAAATAATATCATATGTTTAAAATCATGATATGATTCTTTTAATTTGTACGTTCCAAAAAATATTTTGTACATAATCCATATTAATTCACTCCAAAAAATATTCATCACATAATAAACTTGTTGGCCAAAGATCTGACCCATTTGATGCTTTATGAAACTCCTTATATTCTTTTGCCTCCTACCTCAATCAATGTAGCATGTTTTATGCCATTGATGGATAATAATTAGCATTTTATTTTAATGAAACTGAGGAATACTTAAATCCTTAATCTCATTTCCCATTTCATTTTTTCCTCTCCTTTTTCTTTAACCTCTATCTATTATTGCTATTGACATGAAATTCACATTAACAAAACCATTCATTCTTCGTTGTTTTCTCATCTCTCTTTTTCTCTCCCTCCCTTTTCTCTTCCTCCATCTCTTCTCTCCCCAACCACCAATAACCACCACCACCACCACCGCCACCACCGGCCTAAAAATCCGACCCGGTTACACATCCTACGAAACCTACATACAACGCCAACTCAACAAGACTCTCAACCCCAAACTCCGTAAAATATGGACAACCCGCGACTGGAACCGCAAGATCCCAGTTTTCGCCAAATTCTTCCAACAACTCAAAACCAACAACCTCCTCCAACAAACATCCAAAGCCTTATGCATTGGCGCTCGCGTTGGACAAGAGGTTGAAGCTCTACGAAGAATCGGCGTCGTTGATTCCATCGGAATGGACCTCGTTCCGTATCCACCGTTGGTCGTCAAAGGCGACTTCCATAACCAACCCTTCGATAACGACACGTTCGATTTCGAATTCTCTAACGTCTTTGATCACGCGCTTTACCCGCACAAATTCGTTGCTGAGATTGAACGGACGCTGAAGCCTAACGGCGTTTGTGTCTTGCACGTGGCGTTAACGCGGCGCGCCGATAAATATTCAGCTAACGATCTTTACAGTGTTGAGCCTCTTGTTGAGCTTTTCAAGAATTCTCTATTGGTTCATGTTGTTCGTGTTGATGGGTTTGGATTGGACACTGAAGTTGCGTTTCGTAAGAAACCACCCAATCGTCACAAATTGTAATTGCTTCTTTATTTTTTTTTTGTTACTACATTTTTTTTCTCACAATATATTTGAATGAAATTAGATTTTTTTATTTATTTTTTTTACTTTGAAATGAAGCATCTATGTTGATTTGTAACTCATTTCATTTCTTAACTTTTTATGATCAACGCTTATGCAATATTGTTTTTGTTTATAATGTATATCAATATTTTTAAGTTGGACTTTTTTATTTTGAAAAAGTTACTAACTATTTTTATTTAGAATCATTGCATAATACATGAATTTCGAGTAGTTATTATGCTACTGATAACAAAAACGAAATTGATAAAATTTGATAAAAGAAAAAAAAAGATTAAATATATTTGTTTATATTTAAATAAAAACTTATCCAACAACAAATATATTAAATGTTTTTAAATAAAATAAAATATACCTTAAAAGTAATAATAATAAATTATTTAAAATAATTTGTCTTTGATAAAGTGATATATTTGAAGCTCTTTTTTCTAATAACAGTGATAGGAAAAAGTACTAATTAGTATTAAATATTATATTAATTTAATTTAATTAACAATTGATAGTTGTATATAGACATTTTCAAGTGTTTAACAAAAGCATCATATGTGATATTCACTTATTCATTTTTAAAATGTAAAATTTTAATTATTAAACTATTAGATAAAAAAAAAATATATTTGTCATCTAACTATTTAATGTTTGATATTTATCATCCTTATAAAAAAATTAAACATTCTTATATTTTAAAGTTTGGTTTAGCTATACATTTATCATGTAATTATTCAATATTGTGTTATATTTTATATTAATTTATTTCCAAAAGAATTTAAAATTTAAATGAATTTCATCTAAAATATATTAATACACAACCAAGTTTTATAGTAAAGGATTTAAATATTTTTTTGACTAATAAAGTTCTCATTTAAACAACAAGATTATGGATGCTTTAACACATTTGCACTTCACGTAGTGTATATGTTAATCATGATGTAAAACAAGTCAAGCATATTATATGTACGAATGTAATTGGATTGAGCTTTGTGATTGTGTCGTTTTCGGTGGTTGCGCTTAAGAATGGTTTATATATTTAACTTTTTTTTTTTTAATTTTTTATATTTTATGTCATCTTTTCTTTCTTTCACTTAATAATTTAACACTCATTTAATTTTTATTTATTATAATAATTTTGTTTTATAAAATTCAACACCCTATTCCACTATTTTTATTTCATATTTTTATTTTCTTTTATATTTTTGTTTTTATGTCAAGGAGTGGAACATTAGGGAATTCTCCGCAGCGGTCAATGATATAAACATCTCTCATAGATCGAAAACACCAATAGATATTTGAATGAGAGAGCGACATCATCCTTTGAGACCACCTCAAACCTTGTTCATTCTTCATTATTGATCGGAGAAGGTGAGAAATAAACCACCTGGATAGCAAATGTATACAACACATAAGAGTCTCTCTCTTCCTCATAGTACGAGTGTGAAGAGAATGCATAATGTCTCAGAGTAAAGTAGGCACAAGGTTACGAGAAAGAAATATTTTGATGGCGTTCACATCTATGAGTTGGTCTGAATTAGGGAATAACACCAAACCATAGATCAACAAAGCCAAGATTTCCTCAAAAGCCTGAAAACTCATAGCATCTAGAAACAACCGAGTCTTCTCTAACATAAATTTAACAAGAAAACCCTTGACTCCACTTCTTGTTTCCCAATTAGACACAATGTCGGACCGCTTTAGATGTAAGGTTGCTGCAATTTCTTCAGGTTGTGGGTCTTTTTCTAAATCAGTGAAAGGTGTCAGATCAAGAACAAGTATTCCCAGTAGCTTAGAGAATTCTTTCATTGTGGGTACCAGCTGATAATCCGCAAAGGTGAAACAGTGATGTGCGGGATCAAAGAATTTGAATAAAACACTCATCATGTCTTCTTCAAAACCCGAGGTAACCAAACTGAGTAGACGACCATGCCTCTTGGTAAATTGAGAGCTTTCAGGAACTTTTGAGACTAACTCCTTAAGTTGAGAAGGTATCCACACAAAACTGATCTGAATAGTATTTCTGCGAGCGGAGGTCATAACCTACAAAACAGAACAAAGATAAATTTCTAGGTCCTTGAAATGGTTAGTGAAAATGACATGTATAATGATGCCATGATGTCATTATGTCATGTTCGAACAAATTTAATCAAACATAAACAAGACACACCAAGCCTTAGGTTCAAGCTTGCATGGAGTTTATAGGTAAGTATCCTCTTGAGTTTAGTTGGCTCAACCTGTCCTAAAAGAAGTAACCGGGTTTTAGAAATCTCATATCACTGATTTTCCTCTCAGGCATTATTTCAGCTCAAGCATCTGAATTGCGGCCGAAATATCCCGAAAGTCCAATCTCAATGAGTGTAGCATCGAGTATCAACCAATCATCAGTCTGCACCAAAGTCGGCCATCTCACTACTTTGTAATGGCTAAGTTGTGTCAATTAAAGTTCTAAGGTCATTTAGTACTTATGACACCACACGGTAGCCTAACATTCTCCTTGACTGACTCAAGTGACACCAGCACAAATCAATGTGTCGTACTAACATAGCCATCGTTTCAACCATATCGGTCTTCACTGTACAGTTTTCACGATCTATTGCTACTTACCTAAAATTCCCCTAGACCCGGGTGTAGGATCTATACAAGAAATAAACCCAAGCATATCTCGAAATATAAAGCATACAAGGCAAACAAGTAAAGTAATAAAGGTGAACTAGCTCTAAAGGTAACCCCACTTTTAGTTAGTTTTCCCAGCAGAGTCACCAGTTCTGTAATACGGTGGGAGAACTGAATTTTTGGTTTTTGCGTTTTATCGTAAATGTTGCGGATAGCAAGAGTCACCACCGACTTTTCTTTTATACAAAAAAGGAAAGGGTGAAAAGAACAGGAAAGACCTTTTGAGAATATTCTGAGTAAGGGGGGTAGGTTATGAAAAGGGAAAGTGTTAGCATCCTTTTCATCCATAGTTATCTACGGGCTCTTAATTGCTAGCTCACTTTTTGAAATGCTTTATATTTGTGTATGTTTGAAAATATTTTGAAAATGCCTAAGTGTGGAAATTTTGTAATGATTCTCGTATCGTTGAGAATGTATATAAAATGTTTTTTTTTGAAAATATTTGTGAAATAAAGTGTTGTTTTGTGAAAAGATGTTTTATTTTGAAAAGTTTATGAGCAAGCGACTACGAGCGTTTTACCTACTCAAAAAGAAAGTCTTTGTTCTTTTCTTCCTCCTTTAGATAGTGCTACCCTACCATTGGCTAGTAGGAAGCCCTATCGTTGGATGTGAGAGACAAGCGCGGGTCATCGTACAGCCATAGAAGGCAACTTGTAGAATGCTTTAGCAATTTTCGTAAGGGACTAAGATCATTTACCGAAGGTAACATTGAAGGGTCATCAAGGGACTACAAACTTTTTTAATCGAGGGTCTTTGCTAAAGTGTCCCACGTTCGAGGAACATAACTGTTTTATCCGAAGGCAACAAGTGAGGGTCACCCTAGAGGTGTGTGTGTGTGTGTGTGTGTGTGTGTGTGCAAAGTATTTTGATTTCAGTTAATTTATCTTAGATTTATGGTCATCTAGCATTTTGTTTTAGATCTTTCCATACAATCTTATTAAACTAACAGTAATAAGGAAAGCAGTAAATTGCGGAAATTAAATTTCCTACGCTATTACAATGCTTCGGGAATGGGGGTACAAATTTATGAATGGGGATGAAAAGCAGTAAACCCTAATTAAAGTTATTACAGACCATTGATCAGTTACAATAATTATAAAAATATTAAGGCGAAAGATAAAGTGTGCGAAGATGGTGAAAAGGGAAAAATGTTTAAAACCTAAAAAATATAAGCATTAGAAAATATTTTTTGGTGTTTTATTTATGAAGGAAAAGAAAGAATTTAAAATGATAATAAAAAAAACAAATAAAGCCTAACTATTTCTAATTAATTTTATCTTTTTTAAACAAAAATAAGTTAATTAATTAATTAATTAAAATATATCTAATTATTTTTATATCAATTAATAAATAAATAAATAAAAACCCAACTCTATTTATTATTATTTTTAATTAAAATAGTTAAATAAAATAAATAATAAAAAAACATAGAAAACAAAAAAACATGTTGAGCATGCTGAAGTAGAAAAAAAATGAGGGTGTGAGAACAGAAGTTGTTGAGCCCAAGGAGACAAGGGCCAATGCTTGTGTTGGATCCAATGCAACTGGCTCCAAAGGTTCCATGATACACATGCGAATTTGAAGCGTTAGACTTAGGTTGATGGACATCTGATGATGAGGAGTTGAGAGCGCATGGTGAGCTTATAGAAGCTTGGCACGCTGGATCTGCAAGCAAAAATATATTAAAAAAACAAAAGGGTACCACTGGGGCTCGAACCCAGGTCATTAAGGTTACACGCGCACTTGTTTTATCATTGGGGTGGCTGTTTCATCCGGTTATGAAACACCCTATTCAATATAGTATGAACAAAGTTTGAAAATTTGAAAATGCCAGCACACCCTTCTTCTTCCCCGCGCTGTACAACAACATACCTTCACCATTTTTGAATTTCTAAAAGCTTCATTTCTCAACCTTTTTGAAAAGTGTAAACACCAAACTTGCTTGAAATTTAATCATGAATTCAACCATATAACTTATTTTAACCAACACTAAGATAAGCAAGAATTTATATTGGTACTAAAAACGAACCCTAACGATTCAGAGGCAAAATTCTCAAAACACATATAACATAAATTAAAATTAAGGACATGGTTAGTTTCAGGGTAATCATATTCTACATTTTATCTTTTGAAATTAAAAGCAAATGATGTATGGATAAGGATATCACAGTTTGAGTTTTTTTTACCTCTTTGGAGAAAAGTTCAAAGCTTCTTCTAGCTATTCCAGGTGCAATGTGATTATTGATTAAGCTTCCTTAGACCTCCCTGAAGTTATT